TTTTTTTTTTTTGGGTTGGCAACTAAGTAATTGCCGATTTCATTCGCAAAGATCCCACAGATATTGTGAGATAACATTTTTAAAAATCCCATAGGACGTTCACAGGACCTTTCACAGGAACGCCTTGAAAAATCTCATGAACAACTCTTCTAAGTAGAAACCTCGCAAGAAGCACTTTTAGGAGACCCACAAAAAAAAGCCTCACAAAATCCAACAAAAGCAACTATTGTACAATAGAAATCTGTGCTTATAGAAAATTCTTGTCTTACTCCTATAATTGTAACGCCGCTGAACAGCTGAGGTTCTTCCGACTAAAATAATTCCAAACACGATGAAAATCTGACTCCGTTCATTGAATAGCTCATTCTTGTACAGGGTGAATCACGTAAATCGCACACCTCAAATTACTTGCAATTGGTTATGATCACGAAAACTTGAAAATCTCTTTACGTAAAAGAACCTTTACTCACTTCTGAAACCATGTACTTGAAAAATTTTCATAAAAAGCATAGTATAAAAGTTATTTGCGACCCACCCCTTATAATAAACGTAGTTCAATGTCTATCGTGTTTGGGTTCATTTTAATCAGAAGAATCTCAGCTATCCAATGGTCTTACCCAATATTATTGTGCGACTGGAAGAAAGTTTTGTTATCGATCTTTGTGTACTGTTTTGTTCATCTTTCGACTGAAGTTATGAATATTTTCGTGTGGACTGATTCAAACTTGTGGCTGTTGTAAACGATCGATCTTGAACTAGATAGTCCCATTTGGTTCTTGCTTTGACTTCAGAATGTATGCATTACTATGTAACTGGGAGCAGCGGTTTTCTTGTTGCACCTTCTTGGTAAATGAATTTCTTTTGTACAGATAAAATCAAAATTGAGAACTGCAGAAAAGATGGAAATTGTATATTAGAATAGCCTCTTGAATTTCTAGATAAATATTCTCCGGATCTTGTTTAGACTTTGGAATATTTTTACTATGTATATATTTACTAATTTCTAGATAAATATTCTCCGGATCTTGTTTAGACTTTGGGATATTTTTACTATGTAATTGGGGAAGGTTTTTTTTATTGCATCGTTGTGTACTGTTTTATACATCGTCCGGCAAGATTCATGAATTTTTGTGAATGGATAAAATCAAAATTATGATTAGCAGAGAAGATAAAATTTGTATATTAGAATAGTCTCTTGATCTTCTAGACAAATCGTTCTTGTTTCGACTTTCGAATCTTCTCACCGTCAACTTAGAATACTTCTTGCCACAGCAGTTTCGCGTATTTATTGTTATGTATTGTTGACCAATCAGCAATACCGAGGAATTCTTCAACAAGCTAAAATCAAAATCGTGTTTGTTGCCGGCGATCCATCGCGCCTCGTGTTCCGATTGTACCGCGAATGGAACATTAAGCCGTCGCGTATCGATTTCGGGATCGCGTATAAGGTGTTGACAAGGGGACACGCTCGCAGACAATGGGACATTGTACACTGCAGCGTATAGCGTCCTCTGATTAGTGTACTACCAAAATTGGTTGATCGTTTTGCCCTAAGAACAGTCAACTTCCGAAGATAATTTATACCGAAGTAGCTAACTACGGAGATGCGCACCCTTGTGTACAGGGTGCTTCGCTTAAAACAGGTCACTTCAATATCTCTCCCAATAGTGAAGTTACAAAAAATGTTCTCATGTGGAATTTGACTAGTATCAAGAGATGAATACGATGCAGAAACTAATTTTCTTTCAAAATCATTTTTCTTTTTTTTAGAATTTTCAAAGTCATCGATCGCTTCGTGTATCTGCCGTTAAAATACATTCAGGCATTAAAATATAAACTTCGGTTATTTTAAACCAAATTTAACAAAAAGTTTAACAGTTCGTGTTTGGTGTCGAAGGCCATTTCAAGGTGAAGACCATTATATACGTCTCTGAATGTATTTTAACGTATGCGTAAATCACTGTCGACGACCTTGAAAATTCTGAAAAAAGAACGATGTTGAAGAAAACCAGTTTTTGAATCGCATTCGTCTCTTGATACCAGTCAAATTCTATGCAAAAAATTTGTTGTAATATAACTATCGGAGGAGATATTAAGATGGCCGATTCTAAGCGAAGAAGCACCCTGTATTAATCAGAATTGCAATCACGACGTCCAACTTCTCTAATTTCAAGGAGCTCGAAAGCAAGGAGGAAAACCATTGCGAAAGTAGTCTGCGGAAGTTTCAGGCTTGTCAGAAGTTTGTTTGGCAAACAAAATTTCCCGAGTTCGTTGCACCTTGCCGCGCGACCATAAAGCCTTCATTATCCGCGATGCAGCCCACGCATAGGGTGCACAAGTATTTTTATCCACGGCGTGCACGACGGATTACGCAATGCCGGCATCGAGTACGGTCTGCATACCGATCGTCCCGGCTCGTCCTCGAGCGAATCAGCTCGCCTAGATAATAATTGTTTATTCTTGTCCAGCTTGCAATTACCCTACGCTGCTACGAATTAACTCTGGGAAGACGATCCTCTTAGGCCGGCATCTGGGTCGAAGATCATCGGCGATTGCATAAAATGCAACGCAAGGCGCGGACGGTTGCTATTATAAGCGAACACACCGGTGTCCCGTTTCGAGGACACGTGCTGGATTCGTCTCCGGGGTCCAACATTAACTTCCTACATCTGTCTTGGCTGGATGTGATTGAGTAAACATCGCGATAATTATTAACTGCCAGCTCTTTCGCAGCTGCGGAATGAGTTTGCAAATGGCAAAGAGTCGTTGGATGTTGCCGATTCGAAGTTTCGCGGTGGAGGTGGCAGAAACTCGAGAAACAAGTTCTTTGAATCTCGAGATGTAGTTTAGAGGACTTGTTCTAGCAGAGATTTCGCGGTGGTTGTTTTCCATTGGTAGAACAGGGCGATTATTTTAGAAATTATTAGGTTGCTGTTTAAGTAGTTGTTCAACTAGAGCTTTGTGGGCTTGC